GGGTACACATGAATGATGTTTTCCAAAAGTACTGTTAATTATATATAAAACTTTTTAATTAGGAGAGAGAACCGATGAAAATGTGGTAAACGTGAGGTATTGCTTTGAGGTGATGTGTATAATGCTCATTTGCATAGTTCAGGAAACACTGTCCATGTTTGTGTCACCTAATCGAATGCTGTAACTTGAGCACTGACTCGTTTTTGTTTTTACTACCTGGTTGGTAAAACTTAAGGAAGATTGTCTTCCAAGCACTGCTCTGTTTTCAAACTGTGTGAATCTTAGTGCATGGAGAGGTTATGTTTAATTAGGGTTTAATGTCCCAGATTAATTGAGTGTAATTCTGTGGTTCTTTTTAATAGCTCTAAAGCGACCACAAGTGCCGGTCGATGTCGGGTCACTCGTGAAAGAGCTCTTAGAGATCTACCAATAGAGAAACGGCACAGGGACATCATCTCCATAAATCTGCCTGACCACAATTACTTACAGTTGTGCGTGTGTGTTGGACAGATTTATCCTGCCAATAACAATGCTTCCTGTGATACAGAAAGCGTGGGGGATACAAAGAAGAAGCCAATGAGCTATTGTTTATGGCCCACTGTTGACCTGCTTATGCAGAATGAGAAACAATGGCTGCCTCTGTACAGTATAGCCGCCTGTAACGTTAAGGAGATGCGCAAGGTTTCTTGTAGAGGCAGGACACGTTTCCAGCAGTTAAAACATCTCAATCTGGTCGATCCAAAATTAAAGTGACAAGCACCTGAAGGGGACTGAGGGGATGAGAGGTGTCTCCAGGGAATGACAGAAATAGACCAGCGAAAACAAACCAAAAGCCTTCTGATTGAAGTTTCAATAACATTCCCCAAGGTTCTATGCTAAGCGGAGAGCTATTGTCATCTCTCCAGCACATTTTCTGACATTTTATAATAGGGATGGACATTTTTTTCTGTACTAGGAATATGGGATGAGACATGATGTAATGACTTTATTTGTCGTCCATGACTCTGTACTTTCCCCTATCTTCAATGCCTGAAAAATCATCATGTCTTGTCTAGCTAATCAAAAGAGCTATTCTTTACCACTGTGCTAAGCTGCAGCTATTTTACTTAAAAAAACACAAAGAAATATTTATTTTAACCATTTTTAGCTTCAGTGATAGATGTCATTTTAAAGGCTAAGCTAAGCTTGTTAACCGAAAACGCATAAGGGAAATATTTGATCGTTTTTAGCTTAGGTGGTATATAATATGTAATTTAAATGGTTAAACTGTTTAAAAGGGGAATTACAGTAAATGTTTATTTATATATATGTTTATATTATATGGGTCAAAGACGAGACGTCAACATTTTGGTGTCCGCATCAAATTATATTTACAAAAGTGAAATACATAAAAAGCAAGGTTTAGTTAAATGCAAGTAAAGTATCTACTTTCATATTTCAAATAACTTTTGTGAAAATAAAAAGTCAAAATATGGGGGAAATACTGTTCCAAAGTGTAAAATTGACATTCAGTGTAATGGTCCGGACTTTGATTTTGCCATTACATCTTTAAATAAACATATAAAATACCAGGTTAAACATATATGTTGTCTTGGCATTTTCAAATAAGTGTTGGCTGTGTTATATTAAAGGGGTCATATGATGTTGCTAAAAAGAACATTATTTTGCGTATTTGGTGTAGGGTTGTGTAGGTTAATCGGCGTGTGACAACACCGGTAATACCGGTATCACCGCGGGGGCGGGGCATTCCCTCTTTTCCTCGCTTTCCTTCGCTTTTAAATAGCTTGTAAAAGTGGCGTGCCCATTTTACTTTCACTTTAAAATAGCGGCAATTCGGAGTAAAGCAATTGTTCGTTTTTAGTTCGTTTGAATTTCTCCTCTTTTCCTCGCTTTCCTTCGCTTTTAAATAGCTTAAAAGCGCCGTGCGCATTTTACTTTCACTTTTGAATTAACGGCAGTTCCGCGTCAATTGCTTGAATGCAACAACAAAATACAACGTCAAACTCACTTTAGCGTATATATAAAACATAGAACTTTTATTAACAAAACAAATAAAAATACACCATGCTATAGGGCAAGCCGCCTAATATAAAATAACAAATAACTTACATAAAGTTTAAATAGGTATACAAAACTGGAAATAAGTAAACATGCATAATATATAACCAAATAAATAAGAAAAGTAGAACGTTTATTAGCAAAACGAGTAAGAAAGCTTGGAGGCACGGCATACACCTTGATGTCAAATAAAAAAAACAAATGACACAAAGTTTAAATAAAGTAAAAATCAGCAAACAATGTGGAACCAATTAAATAAGAAACGAATGTTTAAAAAAAACTTCCAAAATCACCTTAGATAAACGGCAAAAGTCAACAGGCTTTTCAAAATCCAAAATATTGCCAAACAGGCGCTTTTGCATCTAGTTTCGAAACTAAATCATCCGCGATCGTCTCGTCAGTCAGCTCGACTCACTCTCCTCACTGGAGAAATGAAACCTGATCTGTGATGCGACTGTCGTTCGGCACGCTACATTGAGCAGCCGCGTTCAGTTTTTAATTGTAGTGTCTGTTCTTTTACTGAACTAAATGATTTTTATTACTATAAAAAATCAAAACGACGGTGGGGGACAGTGACGCGATGGGCAAGTGACGCAACCGGTGTTAAACGAGGCATTTGTTGTATCCAGTGGGGACATAATTACGGTTTATTATAATGACTTATACTGTCTTTTTACGCGCTGCGTTGTGCCGCGTAAACATAAAACCATGTCTGCTTTTGTGATCGGAGAAATGACAAACAACAAGCGCTACTCTACACTGCTCAAAACTCGCGTTTGAATCGTCAGTGGCAAATTCTTTAAATATAAAAAACTTACTTACAGTCTGTGAGTCAGAACAGCCGGCATTGTAGTCTACTCTCCCAGGATCAGGAAACAGTCCTCCATAAAATGCGCTGGACACATCTGAATATTTGGGTTAAACTGTTCTGGAACAGTGTTGTAAATACAACTTAACCACTGATTTTTATTCGTGTCCTCTTTTGGAAGGCCAAACAAAGTAGTTTCGCTTTCACAACGAAACACAGCGTCACACACGGCGGCTTGAGTGTGCGGCGGCCGGCTTGAGCGGCAGCGGGCAGACATGCGGCAACCACATGTGACGACCCCGGGCTGGACTCCGCTTTGTCCACGGTGAAAGCCGATCCGGCGATCCACAGCGCGAAGTTGATGTATTTCCTCAGCGACCAGCACGGATCAGCTCCAGGCATGACGAAGCGGATATCGTCCTCGTGTAAACATAAAACCATGTCTGCATTTGCGATCGAAGAAATGACAAACTACAAACGCTACTCTTAACACTGCTCAAAACTCGCGTTTGAATCCAGGATCAGGAAACAGTCCTCCATAAAATGCGCTGGACACATCGGAATCTTATCAGTAATTTTTTTTAAAGTATTTAAATAACCAGGGGACTTTTGTCCCGAAAATGCAGTTTATCAGAAATTATTCAGTGTAACATGAACAAGAAGCCATTCTGAAATCATATAAAAAAAACTGACAGTCATTCGACAGTCTGTGACATCATCAAATGGCTCCTGAAAGACCTGTGTGGTGAAAAAAGTGAGTTTATTGCTCTTAAATATTTCATAATTTCACCTTTTCATGGTGTGGCATCCGAATTTACAAAAACACATGCCATTCAGTGAAATGCCAAAAAACAGCACAACACAATGAAATTAGCACAACACAACAGAAACAAATCGCAACAACAAAATTAGCACAACACAACAGAAACAAGGCACAACACAACAAAATCTCCACAACACAATGGAAACAGGTTGCAACACAACAGAAACAAGCCACAACACAGCGAAATTAGCACAACACAACAAAATTAGTCCTATGTTGTGTTGTGGAAATTTCGTTGTGTTGTGCACTACTGGACCACCGTATTTAAGTAAAATATTAAGTAAATGTATCAAATTCCTATGTGATAACTGGTCATTTCTGAACTAAACATGCTATTTAATTTGAGGTCCTGTGTCAACAATGTAGCATACTACATTTATTTTTTTAGATTATTCAGATTATTGTTTTCATGAGATTTTTCTTCACTTGCCTTTTTCAGAAAGTATTGATATGCAATTTATTTAATCAGCATATCTTTTTACCATTTTTAAATGGGTTTTAATGGGTTATTATGGCATCCTGCATACAGCATAACAACAGTTGTTTTGCTCTTACAGTGGCATGTAAAATCTTATGTAAGTAAAATGTTCTGTAAATTAAAGGAAGGGCGAGAGACTACGATTCAACACAGCAGCCTACTGTACATACTTTATCAGATAAGCCTCAAAAAGCAAAGGAGACTGTAACGTTCAGGTCCAGACATGACTTTGTAGAGTAAACATTGACGTCAAGTAAAATAAAACACTTTTCATGGGTTTGTGAGCACAAGCCTCTGTTTTTTATCACTTTGAATTTGTTTCGCAAGGTTGTTGGGCGTGCACAACCTGGTTAGTTCATGTATTTGTCATCCATTGTGATGCCCTCCCTAAGTTTTCGTGTCATAAAACCCAAACAAGTTTCTGTAGCATCAGAGAATTCTTTGGAACCATCGATTTCAATGGAAACGGTGCCTCGCAAATGCTGAGGGGAAATACGCATGGGATTGCAAAAGTGCTTTTATGTTATATAGTGTATAAAAATGAATTTAATCAGAGTACACACAGCAACTTTTGAATGGCAGTCAATTTTCTCTTCTCATCCTCTACTTTATCCTCATCGCAAAATGCCGTTATCTTCTGTTAATGTCAGCAGTTTACATTCAGTGTTAAAGCCTTAATCCTGATGTACTGGAAGACTTACATTTGAAGGTTACATGGAGATTAGTTTTGATTTTGAACCTTTCTAATTTATTTGGTTCTTAAGTTGAGTTTAACTAATTGTTGACCTTTCCTCTTGATCAGTGTAAAATTAACCTCCTGTCTCTCTCATTAGGTGAACTTTGTGGTATGCCAGCTCTTCGCCCTGGTCACGGCCTTCTGGTTCAGACTCTACCTGCACCCTAGCAAGACGAGTCCCTTCATCCGGCATGTAGTCGCCACCCTGCTGGGCTTCTATTTGGCCCTGTTCTGCTTTGGCTGGTGAGTGCTTGTCTGTTCCATATTGATCCATAGCAGTGTCATTGATAGCCGGTTAGCGAGCCATTCAATTTATAATGGAGTGCTGGCAGAAGACCAGAGTCTCCTTAGCAGCTGTGGAAACTGAGAGACGCAGTTTGTAAGCCTATATTTATTGATACTTACCTGCTGCTTATAATAAAGGCCTTCTGAAGTCAATTGATGCATTTGTGTAAGACAAATATCAATATTTAAAACGTTATAAACCATAATACCTAGCTTCAGCTAACTGTCGAATGCGCGAGAGAGTGGCGTTCCAGCGGATAATGTAGGACATAGGCGTTAAAAGAGAAACCAAATACTACTTCTACAAATACATTCTGAAATTCGTATTATTTTTCATCTTTTTGCATATGTTTTTGTACTGATAAAATAATTTGCAGTGACACATTTTATATTAAATTAAAAAATGCTAAGTAAAAGCACTTTCACTAGTAGTCTCAGCTTTTCAACCTCTGTTTGTGTTTCAACATTTCTTAATAGAATAAAAAGAGACAAAATTACATAACTACATCACACAACGTGTTTTGTTTTTTTGTCACAAGGTTGTCAAAATGTGATAAATTGTATCAGTGGGAGTCATGCTTAAGCTGACACTTTCTGAAAAACCTCTAACCATATGCAGCGGTCTATTACAGCTTTCTGAACAGAGGTCAGTCCAGCCAAATCACACAGGAAGTCATTATGCAATAAACGTGACGGCAAGAAGCAAGACCTCTAAACAGTGACATTGCCCAAGACATAGTGGACACTAATGTGTTGTTTATGCCTTCTTGAATGCATTTACTGTAATACTACCTTTTTGTGAGTGAAATATCATCTATTACTACCAAATTAATTTAACGAATGTTGTGTGTCTCGCAAATGTCTGCTGTATTTGTGTGGCAGCCTGTGAGGGGATTTCCCCTCAGCTGTTCTAATGTGATTTGTGACCCTGGAGCACAAAACCAGTCTTAAGTCGCTGGGGTATATTTGTAGCAATAGCCAAAAAAACATTGTATGGGTCAAAATTATTGATTTTTCCTTTATGCCAAAAATCATTAAGATATTAATTAAAGATCATGTTCCATGAAGATATTTTGTAAATTTCCTACTGTAAATATATCAAAACTTCATTTTTGATTAGTAATATGCATTGCTAAGGACTTCATTTGGACAAATTTAAAGGCGATTTTCTCAGTGTTTAGATTTGTTTGGCACCCTCAGAATCCAGATTTTCAAATAGTTGTATCTCGGCCAAATATTGTCCTATCCTAACAAACCATACATCAATGGAAATCTTATTTATTCAGCTTTCAGATGATGCATAAATCTCAATTTCGAAAAATTGACCCTTATGACTGGTTTTGTGGTCCAGGGTCACATTTGCTATCATCACATACTCTGAGAGTTTGCCTTTCTCTCTGCACACCGCTCTGTCCAGCAGAGACTTCACCGAAACATTTGTTTGCTCTCGGTCAACATCAAATCCAAACTGGGCTCATTTACTTTCAAAATCTGTGTTCCTGGTTTTACTGTGTGGGATTCTTCAGCACATGTTTTTGGACAGAAAAAACGCTTCATAATCTCTCATCAAAATGCAATAGCTTGCTCCACCCCACAAACAACTTTCCTTTTTGGCGTCACATAGGCAATGCAGACAAATGGTTAAGATATCTCTTTCACAATCCAAACAATTCCAGATGGATGAAATCTAGTCCCCCCACATCATTCTCCTATTGGATAGTGTCGATTACAGTCTTTTATGTATAAGGTCTACTCCTTTTGCAGCAATTATCTGTTTGCAACATGCATTTTTGCAGCGGCTGAACATCGTAAAATATTGTAAGTGCACATAAATGAGTTATTTTGGATTTGCTAATGTCGTGTCACTCTTTTGCAATATAGAAAATGTAAAGCCAGATATGCACTGCAAGCAAGCAGCATGACAGTTACAATACCGTCCATTTGAATTGTCAGAGTGTAGACACAATGTAAATAAGCAATTTAGTTGCTGTCTTGATTGAGGTATGTATAAAGCAGCAACTCGGATGTGTAGTAGTCTGCATAAAGGTACAGCATATGTATTGTCCATCCATCATTCTTCAAACGGCTTGTCCTGCATAGGGTTTCGGGGAAGCTGGAGTCTATCCCAGTGTTTCAGGCTGTAAGCAGGGAAACACTTGGATGGATGCTCAGTCCATCACAGCATATGTATTTTGTCTTTAAAAGTAAATTATTAAATGTTTAATTATACAATATAACTTTATACCCATATCCACTTGAAGTTTGATCGAAGCCACAATAATATTCAAGGAAATGTGATAAATATTTTTATGTAGATGAAATATTGTTCAAATTAATTGATTTTTCAAGATTAGAATTTATTAAAAGTTACCCTAATTAAAGAATCATCCTTACATCACTGCAAAGTCAGACATTTTTATTTAATTATAAAGCGATGAAAGATTATATTTGTCACTTTTGATTTATAATATAATATAATATAATCACTGAAAAAATATATAATCATTACCAGTATAATATCTCATTTATTTTTGGCTAATTAAGGTACTATTATAGTTTTTATTAATATTTTTAATTAGTTTTTATTTTAATATATTTTAATATTTTTTATTGTTTGCATTTTGTTAAAGTTTTAGTAATTTTGTTGTGTTCCTATCAAGTTTTTTTTAATATGTCTATATAATTTTTATTTATTATTTAGTATTAGTTTTAAGTTATATATATATACTATAACAACCCTGAGCATGATTACAATATTAAGAGAATTCACTGAGGATCAATGAGGATTTTTGTTATATGCATACAACCATAGTTAGATCATTTTCATGGACAAAAACTATTAAATAAAAACTCATTTAAAAAAATGAAAGCAAATTTTGTATATGAACTTTATAGAATCTTATCTTATTCAGCAACACATTTCTCTCCTGTTCGAAATGACATTCTTATTTCACAGTTTAATAAAGTTATAGGCTCCTCTCATTGGTTTCCTCTTCTCCTTGTGCTTCAGGTATGCCTTACACTTTCTGGTACAGAGCGGTCTCGCTTACGGCGTTATGATCTTCACAGGCGTGGAACACATGCACAAGTGAGTACCGACCTCCCAATCCTCCACACCATCAATCTGCCCTGCTTCCAGTAACAAGAACAACCTTATGTCAAATCAAAAATGTGTTATGACATTGGAACATGTTCCAGAATTCTCAACAAGCAGCTGCCGTCCAGTTCACCATATATTATTCATCTAGCCCTACAATTGGCTTGTTGAATATTAATCCATACGGCTCACCCAACCATTTCATTCTTATCAGTAAACCGCTCCAGGGAATGAGGGAGCGTCTGTTTTCATCATTGCTTCCATAAGTTTCATGCTGAGTGACGGCTCCCTCTGATCTGGGGTCAGATGAATGGATGTGCTGGACCATGTGGTGTTCGCTGCTGCTTGGGGCGGCACCAAAAATAGCCAGTGCTTGATAGTGATTGCTATTCAAACCAACAACATACACGAGTGCATACTAACACAAAATGACCCTAGAAAACATTTTCATTATATATGGTCGAATTCCAGAGATTTAGATAAGGGTAGGTCATCTGTGCTGGGTCACCCGACCTTGGCACATGCGTCAGAACGGCCAGTCAGAAGTCCTGCCAGCATGGTTTGTGAACTTCGATTAGTTGAAAAAGTCATGATAAGCTGACCATCGGCCTCCTGCCCAGATGTTTGCCTAACTTCATATTTATCAGACAAGGAGTTTTAACTCCATGTGTACTAAACGCACAGAGCCAGGTGTAGTGCGAGGAGGAATATTGTACGTTTACCACCTCACGTTTAACTAGGAAAAAAAAAAAATCATAAAAAACACATTGTCTAACACCGTGTCCTAACTACACGCAACAAGCAATTTGGGTGTCCACACCAGACGCGATGCGACAGAATCAATCAAATATCACAGCCAATCAGAAGCGTGTGTGGGTGGGCTCTCTCTGGAAGTGCACTGCTATGGGAACGAAATGGATACGCTTATAATCTAATTCATAAATATTAAAGCTTTTTAACATCATTAAATGTACATACTGAGTGACTGATAACATCTTTGCTATGGAATACACTCGTTGGTTCGCAGTGAGTTCACAATTTTAACGGACATCTCCGCTTTAATTTATTTTCAAGATCTGAGGTAAACTATCTGTTGTTGCTTTAAGGTCACACAAAATTATATCATATAGTTTGTATGTTGTTGTTCCAGCCGCGATGTCGCGGAAATAGAAACCGTTTCTAAATTAGAAATTTCGCGTGTCACCGTCGTGGCTAGTTAGGACAAAAACGCAGATTAAAATGGAAAAGATACCTTTTATCGCGCGTCGCGCCGCGTGTAGTTAGGACATCAAAATCAACAAAAGAGCAATGATATGCAAGTGCTATAACAAGTCTCAGTTAGCTTAACGCAGTACACGTAGCAAGTTTTTTTTAAAATCATATAATAAATAAAAAGAAAACAGATAGAATAGAGAAGCTAGTGTTAGAGGCCTTTTTTGGCTTTTTGTTAATTGTATAATAAATAAAAAGAAAACAGATAGAATACAAAAAGAATAGAGAAGCTAGTGTTATTTAAAAAAAAATTTTTTTTTTAAAGAAAACAAAGTTAGTAAGTGAATAGGAGTGCAAGTCTAAAAGGGCAGTTTTTTTTTAAAGAATAGAATTAGAATAGATAGTGCTAGAGTTAGAGGGTCAAATAAAGAATTTTTTTTTAAAGAAAACAAAGTTAGTAAGTGAATAGGAGTGCAAGTCTAAAAGGGCAGTTTTTTTTTTTAAAGAATAGAATTAGAATAGATAGTGCTAGAGTTAGAGGGTCAAATAAAGATGGTAGGCATACTAGAAACTTCCAGGCAGTTTGGGCACCCCTGATTTAATGCAAAAGTCAGTCAAAGTGATTTCGTGCCTCTTTGGAACGGCACAATAATGTGCCGTTCACTTGCAGAATGCAAGCTTCTAGAGTGCACATAAGTCTGAAGTAATGAATTTAGGTAAAGGGGTGCAGAGCCAGTGGTGGATTCATTAAACATTAATGCCTTGAATTTTATGCGAGCAGCTATTGGTAGCCAGTGCAAATTGATAAACAGAGGTGTGACGTGCATTTTTGTCAGCTCATTAAAAATGTATCTTGCAGCCGTGTTCTGGATTATACATGCAGCGATAAGACCCTCCTGAAGGGTTTCTAATATGTTTTTTTTTTTTTTTACAATCTGATGGATTGAACCCAGAATATTCCTTTAACCTACTGGACTGATTATTTAACTACTGATTACTAAACAAACTAGACTTTGAAACAATGCTTTTTGTACTATAAAATCTTCATATTGGGTGTGACAGACAGGTCACAGTAATCTGTAGTTTGCACTGATTATTAAAAAATAAGTCTTTCTCTTTGCTGATTGTTCTTCTCTAAGAAAGTAAAGAGCAGCAATGTCTATAGTGTTGAAGACTGACAAGAAAAACTTGTGCAAGAGTCTTGTAGGTTGATAGAGAAATAGACTGGCCCGGTTCCCTGCAGTGAACACAGAGAACGCATTAGGGATGCAGTGCTACAAAACAGACCTTTTGAAACTCCAGGAGACGATCAGTCGGTAATGATGCCATGCTCCACTGCTCAGGGGACATGAGAGGACAAATCTAAGGATGAAGGGAAATTGAAAAACAGGAGCGGAAAACCGATAAAGAATGCAATGTGTGTGTGTTTGCAGAAAGGGCATAAGGATCTCTTTTGAGAGGCTCTCATTACCTAACTGGTTTATTACCTAGAGACTGCCAATAAAACTGGCATAGATTAGCTGCTGAAGTGATAATGCAAACAATTCATTATACAAAAAAACTGAATACTTTGTCCTTGTTCTGGCCTTATAGCCAACATTGAACGCTTGGATTCAACTTATTTGACATCGTCCCAAGTTACTGTAACCGTTATATGCTACGCAAGTCTTATTTTATGCCACGCAAGTCTACAGTGTGCGCGTGAGGCAATGTGTTCTTCTGTTGTCTTTGACAGCTTTTAGGTGCGTTATTGGCAGCGCCACCCTCATAATTGATAGCCCAAAAAATTGTTCTGCCTATGTCACGATAAGAGGTAAATTCGGCCCTGGCGAGGAACACAAATAATAATAATAATAATTAATTTTATTAAATGGCGCCTTTCTAAACACCCAAGGTCACCTTACAGCAAGCAAACTAGTAAAAACAGTAACAATAAATAAACAAGTCCTGCCAGCATTACAAAATTCAACAGCACAACTGCATACATCATAAATACAATAAAGGCTTACAAGAGCATTAATAAGAGCAAGTCATAAGAAAGCCTGGGTAAAAAGATAAGTCTTAAGACGAGATTTAAAAGTATGAAGGCTGTCACTGTTCCATATATTGGAGGGAAGAGAGTTCAAGAGAGTGAAGATCTGAGCGTGTGAGAAGGAGTATAGATGTGGAGAAGGTCAGTAAGATACGGTGGAGCAAGGTTGTAAAGTGCCTTAAATGTGATAAGCAAAATTTTTAAATCAATGCAATACTTTACTGGGAGCCAGTGTAAACGTTGGAGAACTGGAGAAATGTGCT